TTTTCTTCCCTTTATCAGCCCTGTGGTATCATTTTGGGAGAATCACTTCAATTGATGTTTTCATGTTTGTGGCCTGTCCATTCAACCAGTTTCTAATCAAGATCTTTCTTGGACTGTCTCTTTTCTTCCCCTCTATCAAGCTGTGTGGTATCATTTTGGAGATGCACTAAAATTGATTGTTGCATGTTTGTGGCCTGTCCATTCAACCAGTTTCTAAATAAGTCTTAGACTGCCTCTTTTCTTCCCTTCTACTAAGTGGAATCATTTTGGAGATGCACTTCGATTCGAAGGAGCAATGAGCTTAATCCCAGTGTTCACATATCAACATACTAAAAACACAAAAGATGTAATTGTAAAGATAGCATTAGTAAACCACCGGCTTAGCAGGATGGTTTGAGTATATAATAAAGTTTTACATAATACTGATAACAAAAGCACATAAATAACAGCTAAAAAGTCAGACCACAGTGTAATAACTAAAACAAGTTTCTAAGTAGTGTAAATGGTTATGACAGTCTCACAGCTCTACTGGAGAAAAAACTTGCTCAATAACTTTCATGTTAGAGAGAAGCAATGCGTGGAGCCATGGGGAAGGTCTTCCTGAGAGTAAGACACTTCTCTCTGTCAATAAACAGACTGTTCTTCTTGATACTCAGGTCTTGCTCCAGGGCAGCTTTGGTGCGAAGAAGTGCTTGCAGTGCATTCTCAGCTTCCCGTAGTTTGTACTGAAGAATGTCTACTGTATCAGTAATCTCTCCGACTTCCTCAACCAGCCTGAAAATACGAAGAAATAATCCATTAAAAGTGAGCTATACTAAGCTTCTTATTTTTTCTTGTTCTTTACAGACACACACACATCTTGATTGTAACTGATTCAGAAAGCATGCTGAGGAAGATCAGAACAGGAATGCTTCGTGCAGAGTGGCATGCTTCGTTGCGGAGGACACGAGTGAGGAGTATGGTCTGGATTTTTTCACTGGGTGACGTCGGTGTGTTAAGAAATGAACAGGCGGACAGACTGGCTGGCTCTGCACAACTTGGTGGAATACTGCTACATGATAGGGCAGACGTGGTTAGTGCCTTGTGGGAGAGCGTGTACAATTCGGAGAAGCAGATGGATCACCACAGTCTGGTTAGATTGATGCAGTTGGGGGTGACGAGAGGTTCTGGCAGATACTTGAGGCTCAGAGGAAAGGCAAGACGGACGTTTAATCAGAATGCTACTGGCACCATTAGCATCGGAACTCTTTGCTGGCTGCTGAAGATGGGGAAGGAGCGCTTATAGGAATGCCCCGAGTGCTGTGATGTCGGTTCTTGAATCAAATCAAATCAAATCAAATCTTGCTCTTTACGTTCCCTGACTGTAAATTTCAGTGAAAACTAGTGGTTGTTCACCCACTAACTGACTTCAGACTTGTTCCAGAACTTGAGTTTTGCATGCACATCCGTTTGCAGATCTGGCTTATTTATATGCAGACTTGTGTCCTTGCTTCCCATTCAGATGTAATCTGACTTCTGAGAAAACACCCCTGATTAGTCGGTTTTTACGACACGCTATAACCATTCAATTTGGTATGATCGTTATTTGGCTTTGGGAGTGGCATGAGGTAACTATGCAGCCAGTCAGTTGGAATACACAGTTGTAATACTGTTGTTTAAACGCGACGCCATTTCCCCAAATTCCTCATCGCTTAAACTTCTCATATGACTATACCTAACTCCATCTGGCCCAAGTGCACTACTTTTTGTTTTCTTCAGCATATGCTTTATATATTGTTTACCTGCATGATTTTCTCATACGTCTTTTCACTGACTTTTCTAGTAAGAGCACTAACAACAGCACTTCTGATAGTTTGGTCATTCTTATCTGTTTAAAATCTTTTCAGAAAAGCCGGCTCTCCTCCGAATAACGGTCCCAAATGATCTACGCAGAAAGTAAACCCAAACAGAGCCTCACTCATATCTAAAATTCGCATTTATTTTGCGGCGAATCAGCCGTGTCAAAAGTAGGATTAACTGCGCACGACATTTTCGCGAAGCGCAACGGATTTTTTTTTACAACGATTAAACGGCGGCAAAACTAGGATTAACTACGGAAGATAAAAATTAGCGACACGCGAGAATACTCCCGATAGCGCTATCCTACGGCAGGGCCCGAGTTATATGTAAGTTGCGGACCGCTTTTCGCCGACTATAGTGTCACCTCCGAGGGGCTAAACTAGATGGCTAGGACTCACGAGCAGCAGCTACCGTAGCTCCTGCAGCTTCCTCCAATGTATTTGCTCGTGAGTCCTAGCCATCTAGTTTAGCCCCTGCCGCGCGTAGCGGCGCGGGGATACTCTCGGAGGTGGCACTATAGTCGCCGGAAAAAAAGTCTACAATTTACAGTAGCTACTTCTTCTGTCGGAAGTACCAGCTTGGTCACATTCGCCACGGTCAAGTGGTGGTCGTGATAGTGGAGCGCCATAGTGGCGGTTGCTGGTTTGAAGTTGTCCCGAGGCGACATGTGCGTACATTAAACCGCGATCATGTCTCGCCCGGAACGAGAATCGCAGACAAGCCGTGCTGAGTTGCAATGGCGGACGGCGAGAAAGAACAGATATTCGCGCACTATTTGCAACTTTTGTGACACAATTTTCACATATAAAGGATTAAATTTTCGGCAAGTAGTAGACTTTGCCCTTTTCGTTACACTTTTCGTTCCATATTTTTTTCCAAGCTACACCTTTTAAATGTTTGTAGAGCAGGACGTAATGAGGCTCTGTTTGGGTTCACTTTCTGCGTAGATCATTTGGGACCGTTATTCGGAGGAGAGCCGAAAAGCCTACCCCTTTATACTCTCAGTTGTCAAGACCTCGCCAATTTCACAGCAAATCGTACTAACGGAGCTGGGAAGTCCTTTCAGATCATTTGCCTATGAAGTTTCCAAAACTTAATCCTTGTTCTATCTTTCGCAATCTCGTTCACAAACTGCTCCTATTTCACTTTTTAAAGCATTCGAACTCGAACTTGGCTCTTATTTCGTCTTCTGTTGTCATCATCTCCTCTTGCAAAAAAAAAAAAAAAAAGAGTTAACCTTCGTTCTTGCTACCATTCTTTCACCGCCGCAATTTTCACGTTCCACGATTGTACCGCCTCTGCAGTCCGCCATGCTGAATAAATTTACTCCTGGTGGCCCCTCGTTCCAGGGATTCCGGGGCCCTATTATTGGGAAAACATGAATAGACCCACTGCCTATCCAAAAGCATGTCGTAAGAGTCGACTAAATGGGAGCTTCCTTTGAAGTCGGAGTGCATATGCCTGACAGGCAAGGAACCATCAGTCTGCATACAAATGAGTCAGATCTGTAATTCGGGTGCATACACAACGCTCAGGTTCTGGAATAGGAGGACCTCAGACCAGAAGTGGACGAACAACCATAACTTCCCGCCGGAGTTTACAGCCGGTGAACGCGAAGAAGAAGAATTGAATAACAGTCAGACAGTCTACAACAAAGAAGAGAAAATAGTGTTGAAATCCATCGTTGACAATCTTCATTCTTTACTGTGATGACTGCTTGCTTCTTCTTTCCTTTCATTCTCAGCATTCCAAGTCCTTAGAGGCTCACTGCTGCAGACATCACCTGCCTCCATTCATCTCTGTCGTCGGCCCTCTCTTTCTAGTTGATGACTTCAAATGTGGAGGTCTGCCTGAACATGATCTGCTTAAGAAGGTAATGGTCTGGATATTATCTCTCATCTATTTTCTTGGGGCCGGACTTTTTTAAAAAAATGACCTTGACTCCCAGGTAGACCCACCCTTGAGTGGGTACCAAGTACAGTCCTGGTAAGTAAAGGCAACTAGCGTGATGCTGACCAAATCACCCACGAAATACCGTTTGGTCTATAAAATATAGGTCTTGCCCTATATGCCCAATACGCCTGAAGGTGTGAAGAAGTGTCCTTTTACTATATTCTTGACCTGCTGTGTAGTCTACGCCATTCAGCTCCCTTGTGTATACAGTTTTTGTCTCTCTGTCACCTGCTTTTCTCCCTATATGCCCCAGCCATTTCATTCTTTTAGCCCTCATGATGCAAGTGATCAGTCGTGATTTTAACCGTGAATTTCGTTGCTTCTCTCTCCATTCCCCGGTATATGCATCTTTGAATGGCCTAAAGATTTACCTACGACTTTTTTTTCCAAAACTTATAATAATGCTTCATCTCTTTTAGTTGTGCTTCAAGATCACAATATAGGAAACACGGAGAAAACCAGTTGTTATGTATGGCTCTGAAACCTGGAGCCCATCCTGCTTAAGTTATATCGGTTTGCTTTGCAAACATCGACGTCTGTGGCTTAGGCGTTGCGAACGCGCTTCAGAGTGTCGGGTTCGATCCCAGCTGCGTTGGTTTCGAAAGTGGTGCTGACCGCTCAAAAAGCTATGACAAACTACTGAACGTAAAATTTGCCTAGAAAAACAACAGCCAAAAAATGCTGGGGTTGGTTCTGCAACGTCCTGTAAAGGATACGCAGCTAACTTTATTACATGTATATATTGTTGTCACCCACCTGTGTTGTACAGGATCTCGGCACAGCTCAACATTAGGCCTCCTCAAACGGGTCTCCAGTCTCGTTTGAGCCACCTGCATCGGAGCTTCCTTGTCTTGAATTGCTTTCTTTAGGAGCTCGATGTTTTTCTCCGAGTCAAATACTTCTTGAAGAACCTGCACAATACATTTTATTGTAAACGATCTGGTAATCTGATAATCCTAGTTTCAGCTTTATAGCAAACGGGTCACCCCATAGTTGCTCCGCTCCTGTGCCAACGAAAAACACACGTAGCTCACAGTGTCACACCATGCACTCAACTCAGAAGCTGGGCGACGAAACTATATGCTTCCAGTCTACAAATGGAGCGAAAATACGACGGTCACCGCCTGACAGAAGTAAAAAAAAAAACATTTGCCACGGCTAAAAAAAAAAAAAAAGTTGCCGTGCCTAGCGTTCATTTTGACCTGAAGCATTATGTGAGGGTTAATAAATGGTCGCCCCAGCAGTACTCTCACTATTAGCTGGGGAAGGGACTTAGGACATTACATCCATCAGCAGGCGTCGCCCCTACAACGACCTGACTTTTGTAAACGATACTTACTTTTTTAATGATTCACATTAAACAGTGGTGTTTTTTTTAAACGTAAAAAGAAGTTAACAACTGGTGCTGTTACAAAGAAGGAGCAAATACTTGGTAATGTAAAGGGATGTTTTCCCTGTTGGGGACACAAATAAAATCCTAGCCAACTCAGTCCGTGGCGCGAGCATTGGAGATTCATAGTCATCACACCTTTCTTACCCTCTCCATATGCTTATGACTGAGAGTCAGGATCGCCATCGCATACTCAAAGACAGAAACGAACAGACCATGATATAAAAGACATAGGTGACGTTGCTCAAAGTTTGCTGCAGCCATCACTCTCATCACGTGGCTTTTATCGGGCTGGAAGTGTTGAGCTTTAACTAGGTCAATGAATTATAATGTTGAGTGGCATGTCACCTACTTGATGGCTGTCTTTCACAAGTAGATTATTTATTCACCCATTTACTTATTCAGTACAATATAATAATATGCATTTTTAAATCTGGATCTAGTATAATAATATGCTAAATTAATATGGATCCAATATAAAAATGTGCTTAAATAATCTGTATACTAATATGCTTAAATAATCTGGCCACTTTGGTTGATCGAAAAACTGTTCTTTCTTGGTCAGTAGTTATCACTCGGTGGTCCCGTGGATCAAATCTAAGAGATCTGTGAAATCATTTACAAAAATATAAACAACTTTTGGACTTCGGTCTTGATTCAGAACTTTAGTTTTACGTGCCCATCCGTATCATAGATCTGGCTTATGAGTTTGCATGCTGTTGGTCCCTTGCATATCAGACATACGATCACCCACTTTAAAGGAAACACCCATAATTAGGCGCCTCCTACGACATGCTTGGGGACAGTGGGTCTATTCTTTGTCCTCCAAAATTGAGCTCCGGAACCAGCAAGGAGAAACATGAGAGCTAAGGTTCCCTTTCGTCTAATTTGCCCCATGCATCATGTCCGTCGTGCGATGAAGACGATCTCTAATCTAAACTATGAACTATTCCCCATGCAATATGACACTGGTACACATGCACGACACCAGCCTTCAGTTTCGTTCATTATCACTTATTTCTGATACATATATTTGTTCCATGTCACCAGTCTAAAGTGAGTACCAGTTGAAGTCCTGGGAAATAAAGGCGGTAGGCATAACTGGGGGGGGGGGGGGAATAAAGGGCAGAAGAGAGATCTGTACCTTTGACAAATGTGTTTGGATTTTATTCCTGGCATCTGTTGTTTCTTGGATCCTCTGGTTCAGGGCCACGTTGACAGCATTCCACTCCTGCCACATTTCGTTGTTACACTCATTAACTATAGCGTCCAGCTCATTCTTGAGGTTTTTGCTGGCTGCTCGTTCAGACTGTGACCGCCGGATGTTGTTACTGGTGTATTTCGCCCATGTTTCTGGCACTGAAACACTAAACATCAAATGGGATTTGAACGTCAAACGGGAAAATAATGTATTGATAACACTTTGTAAGATAATATTGACTTAAAAGATAGAGCTGATTTTGGGGGGGGGGGGGGGGGGGGGGGGGGGGGGGCAGCGGTGCTGGTCCGGCTTCCATCCATAATATTGAAACAATTATACAGGATAGAACAGAATAGAAAAATAAACTGTAAGCTCTATGAATCAATCAATCAATCAATCAAGAACTGACGTCACTGCTCTTGGAACATTTCCACGCGTGCTTCCGTCCCCTTTTTCAGTAACCAACGAAGAGTTGATATGCTAATAGTACCAGTTGCCACCTGATTGAAAGTCCGCATCTGTTTCTCCTTTAAACTTAAATATCTTCCAGAACCTCTACTCACCACCGCTCCCCCCCCCCCCCCCCCCCCCTCGCTGAATTAGTCTCTTAGTTATGGATTCCCTTCAGTTCTTCTGTACTGCCCATTTGATCCCATAGAGCCTTTAACCCATCCGCTTTATCAAAAAGTATCTCACGGCCCAGAAGAGTGGCAGCAGCTTACCTATCAGCCAGCTCGCTACCTCGCACACCTGAATATCCTATAGAAAATCCACGAAAAGCTCTTGATCTGGTTTGGGAGCTCTATGTCATGTATAACGTGTGTTTGTATATTGTTTTATATACATTGTCCCCCTTGTGCTGTCCCTAGATGACCTGTGCAGCATGGTCGACCCTCAAGTGAAGGCGCGAGCAGAGCATAGGCATTCCCCGTCATCCAAAGAGACCTCCATAAATGCAGAGCCGACCCAAGGCCCTCTGGTACTGGTATTACCCAATGGATCGTCACGTCCTGGGCATCACTGTGTAACCTCGCATCCGTATATTGAGCCTCAAACTCACAACGGGCTGCACCCTTTTAGGATCCGTAGAAAGCAGTCTGCGGACTGAGACTCCTATGTCTGCACAAATGCGCATCTCACTTCTTCAGCATGCTAATGTTCTATCTTTGATAATGGCATCTTTCACGTTGATGTCCTGGCTCATTCGGTGGCATTTATGGGAAGCACGTATTACGTATAACTTTCCTATATGATAATTACACTCCCAAGAGTGTCGCCATTATTAACGGAAGTTTGAACCTTTTGTGTCATAAAGTAGGATCTCTGAGCGAGGGACATCTGAACCTTTGTTATCATACAGTCGAACACTCAATGGACGGACATATAAACTTTTGATGTATTACAATATAACACTCGATAGACGGACATCTGAACCTTTGCTACCTTACAGTAGAACACTCGATGGACGGACATCTGAACCTTAGCTGCCTTCCAGTAGAACACTCGATGGACGGACATTTGAACATAAGTAGCCAATATTTTCGATATCATAGATCACATCCAGTCTGTCAGGCATCTCTCATAAACTCTCTTCGCATGTTTTCTCTTGCACCTTCTCTTGTTCTCAGTCCATTTGTTTTCCATTTCAGTGCACGTTTGGGGATTTTCCATTCTGTTCTCATCAGGATGTGCCCACTATTCCTTATTTGTCTAATAATTATATACACTAACTGCTGTCCACGTATTTCTCTTATTAATTTGTTCCGCATTCTTAAATCAATCCTATTTACTGATCATCAAGTTCTACAGGCGTTCATTGAAATTCACATAGTACTTTTGTTTCTTCTTTTAAATCAACAGTTTAATTTAATGTCTAAATGTTACAACAGAAGGTAAAGCAAGTTTGAAATTTAAAAAAAAAAGGAAATTACCCTTTAAGCACATCTGGCACATGAGGCATGAAGTGCTAGGCAAAAGGTGCTAGACATACGTTTATAGACTAGAACACAACTACTTCCCATACCCGTACCTGGTACTCATTTGAGGCTGGGTCAACCTGGAAGCCAAGATCAGTGTTCAAAAACATCTATCTCTGTGCGAGGTCCTAACGACTGAACCATCTGGGCACATGCCCTAGGGCTTCCTGAGCACAGGGGCCACACGGTAATCTATGAATATCGGATGTCTATTTATATGTCAGTTTTATGAGTGGTTGCTGTAGTGGCCCCAGCACACTGGTTTGCACCGGGTCCCAAAAAGCTGTTAAAACGGCTCAGTCTCGATGCGAATTTGAACACTAGAAACAAAAGATCGCATGGATGCAAAATGTGTTATTCCTGACACGATTTTAAAAAAATAGTAATCGGTTATAACAAACCTGTTATCAATTCTATGAACACCGTCATGGTAGGCGATGCCTCTGCTTGAATTCCGCAATCCATGGCATGTTGTGTCCAGGTTTTCCGCCACGAACTTATCAGTGGAGTCTCTTTCAAGTTCATGCTGCGCTGCACGGTTCAGGCTGTCAACAAAGGAAGAGAATTATTCATCCATGGATTAAAAACGCTCATGTCGTAACTAAAGACACTAATGCCAACAGTTAATTCACAGGTATACAGCTTCCACAAGGGGTACCCGCCTCTTGTAGGAAACAAATATACTGCTAGTAGATACGCAGAGCCCCTGATTAAATAGAAGCTGTACAAGCATACATTTACGTTTATAATAAACAATACCCAATCATACATACAAATCATAACTGATCGCCTTCTCTGTGTGGGTTCCGGAATCCTACTTCTTTTTATTTGCGTGGGGGGGGGGGGACAGACCCACTTCCCCCTAACATTGTGTAATAAGGAGTCTTTCCTTCGATGTCTGAGTGCATCAGCCTGAAAGGTGAGGAACCAACAGTCTGCATACAAATAAAGCAGATCTATAAAATGGGGGTACACGCAAAGCTCCCGTTCTGGAAGGCGGCTAGAGTTCAGAAGTGGACGAAAAACCTAAACTTTCCACCCGAGTTTACAGTCGATGATTTCAAAGAAAAGGGTCTTTAATTAGACACAAGCTGTAAAAGAATACTTAGTACATTGACTAATATAATAAATACTATCCAGTCACATTTCTGAATCATAACTGATGGCCAAACAAGCACTACATAATTATAACAGTCAACTCGTGTGTGTTTTACCAGGAGACAATGAGTTAAAGGATATACTACATAGCGATAATGGTAGTGATGATGATGGTGATGGTGATATCACACACCTCAGCTGAACATTGGCCCTATCAACAGCATTTCTCATCTTGTCTTGACATCTTTTGATGATGTCAATTTCCTGAAAGATATGACAAAATAATAATTGATAACTTTATGCTAGTTAGTTTACTTCATGTTCAAAGATCAATGTAACTTGTATGAATGCAGGAATAAGTCACAAGAAAGAATGTCTGTTATGCTCAAAGATCATTTATTTTTTAAACTGCTTTTTGTGTGTATTCCTTCTGCCCCCCCCCCCCCCCCCCCCAAATTTCCCCCACCCCGACACTTTACTGAGGTACAAGGTGAAAGAGAAGAAGAAGAAGAAGAAGAAGAAGAAGAAGAAGAAGAATAGGAAGAAGAAGAAGAAGAATAGGAAGAAGATAATTTAGATTCTGGATAGCTGTTACCTTAGTATCTTTATTTAAGGCCAGAATGGTCGTAGAAATCTGGGTGCCTGTATTTATATCATCATTACCTGAATATTTATTTATGTTTAATAAATGATTTGTACAAACTAGAATGGAAAGAGAGTCAATGCATCTCAACAACAGAAAAAGGTGTAAGAAATATTTTCTGCTGGTAAATGCCGTGCTGTACCGGCTCGACTCTCGCGTGCGGATTTGAATATTGTGGATTTTAACTCGAGCGTAATTTTTTTCCTTTAAAAAATGACCTTAAATGGGTACCAGGTGAAGTCTTGGGAAGTAAAAACCGATGTGATTTTGACTAGGTAACTCACCGAGTGCCCATGGTACTTTTATCCTATATATTAAATCTTTGTGTCCCCTTATGCTGTAATGTCCTTTCCGTAAATGAAGGAATAAGTCACAATAAAAAATGTGTACAGTGCACACTGGTCAGTAAATTCTTGTGATGATGTTATGGATTTTGGATTGCTATGGTCCTATTATCTGGTACATTCATCCTTTGAATGAAGTCTTATTTTTCCCTCAGACTGTAGTTTTTTTTTTTTATTGTGGACCATACAAGATGACGATAGACAGTTTGGAATCATGACACGGGCAAACATCTCTGCCAGACGTGACTGAAGTATACCTGATAAAAGGCGGTAACTATCAACGCCACACAAATTATTTCATACAACCAGTACCTTAATTAGCTTTTTCTCAGGATTATCATGAACAAGATCAACAGATTGCCGTTTCTCCCGGTTGTACAGACACTCCTGTGCAATGTGCAGCGGGTTCGCTGTTTCAGCTAGGAACTTCTCCATGTTTTTCTTAGTCTGCAGCAAATATAGAGATTTATTTATTAGGTGACCATTCACAACTCAGCACACTGTTTAAACAATTCTTTTTCATCATCATCTTTCTTCTTCTTCTTCTTCTTCTTCTTCTTCTTCTTCTTCTTCTTCTTCTTCTTCTTCTTCTTCTTCTTCTTCTTCTTCTTCTTCTTCTTCTTCTTCTTCTTCAGAAAAATAAGAAGAAAAAAGAAGAAGAAGAAGAAGAAGAGGACGAAATGCACGGTAGTTTACTCGTATCTGCATCGAATTTGAGTTTTATAATTGAAAGAAAAGTCAAGGCAGTCGCATGGCATCAACCACGTAACCAATCGGGTATCGGTTGTTCTATGAAAAATTGGGTGTAGCACAACATACCCGATACACTACTGTAAGTAAATAAAGTGTATTACCGTGTACTTTTGTTTCCTTAATGAATCACCGTTACATACCAGAGAAGTTTGAAGTTTGAACAACGGATCAATATGATGGCACACGGGTAGTAACCCATGAGTTCACTGTTCTTCTTCTAACTCAAGTCTGAGTCCGAAGAAGCTCAGCACAGTGCACAGGCTCCGAGCACCAGCGAAGATCCTGAAATAGTTTGGGTACATTTTTAACTCTAAATCTTGCCTGGGCAACGCTGTTATGCTACTCTTTTTGATTTACAACTGCTACGAGATTTTTTACTTGCACAAGAATGCAAAAGAGCATCCGATCTCACTACCCAGAGACCAGGGAAATTACTAGAAGTCCAAATCCACGTGGGAAAAAAATGGTAATATACAGACAAACTACGTGCTATGCTAGAATGACTTATCTGCAGTAACTATATGTACACTTGAACTATAATTTCCCCATTCTTAGCTACCTACTTCCAGTAGCTGACTAGTCTCTGCTAGTATGTTGTCAGTTTCATGGCTGAGTTCGTTCTTCCAAAAGTTGATGTCCAAAATACGTTCTCCGAGTCGTTTTCCCACGTCATTCTGTGTACGCTTGGTTTTGTCGTCTGCTTCTCTGGTAACATAAAATAGTATTTAGCAACAGCATCATTGAGGCCATACAAATAATGTGAAAATAAAATCATAAGTAATTACTGACACTAATATAAGTAGATAAAGCGTATTTGCAGAGTCAATGCAAGAAAAATGACAGGAAACATACTTGCAGAAAATAGGCAATCGCGATGACAAATAAAATGCTTACTTGCAGAGTCAAATTTAGGGAGATGACAAATGAGTTACCCACTTGCAGAGTCTAGGAAGACAAGATGACAAGTTATTTGTCGTCGGAGCTTCAGAGTTTGTGTTCTGGGCAGGCGGCTAGTCGTTAGGTGAAGAGAGAACGTGCCAAATGGGTTAAAACCCTCTGCAATAAAGTCGACCCTCTTGTCTAAAACGATTTTAAACGAAATGTGTCGCCTGTTATGACATGCTTGTTAAAGGACAGTGAGTCTATTCCCTCCCTCCGCCCAAATAAAATAGTAACTGGAGAACCCACACGCGTCAAGCCAAGCAAGATGGTAGATCCGTGGATTCCTGTACAGTTAAATCAAGTTCTGCGGCTAACCAACTACCCACTTAAGACTACAAGTTATTTCGTACCTGTTGTAACCTATGGTGCCATGGCTAATGAAGACACCTGTGAGGAGGGGGGGGGGGGGTGCCTAGATGGTCATGCGTCTTGGTACATTTGTTTCTTCAGCAAGGCTAAGACGAGAAAAAGGACTCTTAAAAAGCTGTATAAATCCTTTTCTGATACACGGAAGTGAATCACAGACAGCTGTAGATAAGTGAAACGATATTTGGAAGCTGGGTTGTGTGGTTTTATGGACAAAGATGAGATTGCCCTGGACAGATAAAAAGAGCCGTGAAGACGTACTGAATGGAACCAACTCAGGAAGAGAACTGATTGCCCGTATCAGAAAGAGACAATCTATATTCTTGCTTCATGTCATGAGAAGGAGAAAACCGGAGTATATTGTGACAGTAGAAAAGTTGAAGGGAAAGAGAGACAGCTGGAGACCGAAAGAATAGATGCTGGACCGTTTGACGACATGGTATGAAGGTCGCCTTTTATTGAAATTACAAGTCAGACGTCTGTGGTCAGGTATGACTACTAACGCCCCAAGACATAGACTTTGCGAAGAAAAAGTGTGTCTTTCTATCTTTTTACTTCTTTATATAAGTGCCGATCAATACATCGACTGTTTGTTTATCATATATAATACAGGTACCTGCAAAGTCGGACACTTTCCAGTCGAAGCCGCTCTGCTCCATTGCGGACACGGTCCGATGCTAGATAGTTGCTATGGTTAGAGGCTAGCCAATCATTGGGTGTGTAGCGGGTGTAAAGAGCATTTCTGGCTGCAGTAAACACGGGAGGTACTCTGTGAGCATCGAGTTCAGTCAGTTGTGACTTGGTGGATGCTGGCTCGATGGTGCTGCGAGTCAACGCAATGGCTGGGTTTATCTGAGGAACATCGCACATGCAAGATATAAATGAGAGCAAAACCCAGAATTATTGCTGTTGTTAGCCAAGTTTGTTGTATGTAGTACTAGTACTAGCGCTTTTTTCCACTGCGCAGAATAAGCACTTTTTTTAAAGGCATAATTTGTTTCAACACATCTGTAAAAGATTTTTGTGGTTAATACCGGTACCGACTGACTGACTGACTTTCTAACCCACCAGGACATCACACACGCTATAAACACCCGATGACACAATGTGCCACCATGTGGGTGAGGATCACAGTGGAGAGGTCCCAGAAACCGCGTTCAGCCATTAGGCCATATTTACGACCGGACTGTATTGCGGCCCCTGGCATGAGCCAGAGTAGGGCTTCAAAAAAAAAAAAATTGCATCCTGAAAAGGATGGCAAGATATCTACCGGTACCTTTTTTCCTAGGAAGAAAAGCCCCCAATAGTGGTGGGGGTGGTGTTAGTAGTAGTCAGTTTTCCAAGAAAAATGCCATGAGTAGTAGTAGTAGTAGTAGTAGTAGTAGTAGTAGTAGTAGTAGTAGTAGTAGTAGTAGTAGTAGTAGTAGTAGTAGTAGTAGTAGTAGTAGTAGTAGTAGTAGTAGTCGCTGCAGCAGCAGCAGCATTAGTAGTAGTAGTGGTAATAGTAGACGTAGTAGTAGTATTGGTGGTGTTAGTAGTAAAAGTAGTAGTGGTGGTAGCAGTAGTATCAGTAGTAATAAGAGCCGACGAAGTGGCGGTGCTGGTGATGTTTTGGTGAATGTGGTCATGATGATCCACTTTTTCTTCTTCTTCTTCTTCTTCTTCTTCTTCTTCTTCTTCTTCTTCTTCTTCTTCTTCTTCTTCTTCTTCTTCTTCTTCTTCTTCTTCTTCTTCTTCTTCTTCTTCTTCTTCTTTTTTCTTCTTCTTCTTCGTTTTCTTTACGTTTACCGGCTGCAATCTGCGGAGGAAAGTACTGGATGTTGGTCCACTTCCGAATTTTGGTCTTGTTCCAGGACTTCAGTGTTCTGTGTACAAAGATCTGGCTTTTTTCTGTTCAGACTGTTTGCTGCTTGCCCCGAATGCAGATACAGTCCGACTTGGAAGGACACATGGACCCTATCTACGCCAGCCAGTTCCCGGTTGGGTACCTGTCTCTAGAATGACCGCGGAGAGGTGTGAGTAAGGTCTGAACTAGTACGAGCTCTGGTCCTGGTGCAGAAACTTGTTGAGCTGAGTTGAGCTGATTCGAGAACTGACACCACAGCACTCGGGGCATTCTCATAATCGCTCCGTCCCCATCGTAGGCAGCCAGTGCAGAGTTCCAGTACCAATGCTGCCAGTAGCAGGCAGGCTATAAGTCTGTCTTGTCTTTCATCTGGGTGTTGAATATCGGCCTGATCAACTCGCCAGTCCTTGCTTTTTCCCCCTGCGATGATCAATTTGCTGTTGTGAACTGTACACGTGCTCCTTAAAATGCCTTAGCATGCACCGATATTTTGCCTCTAGCCAGTCTATCCACCTCTTTACTTCCTAAAACACTGACATGTCCTGGAGAAACGATCTAGACAATGCTCTTCAGAAACACAAGTGGTTCACCAGTCTGATTATATGTCCGCCCTGCCTTTCATCTGAGTGTTGAGTAATGGCCTGATCAACTCGCCAGTCCACGCTTCACCACTCTCTTCAGACTGCGATGATCAATTTGCTGCCGTGAGCTGTACACGTGCTCCTAAAATGCTTTAGTATGCATCGATATTCCGCTTCTACTAGACTGTGATGCTCACAGTGCTGTTCCGAGCTATACACGTGCTCTCATACGGCCTTAACTACGTATGCCTTATCATGCATTCATATTCCAACAAGTGGTGCAGTGCTAGCCGTTTAAAAACAAACGTGGTTCATCACCTCTGTATCTCGGTGGTGAAGATGATATACCAGCATGAGTAGTAATAACAAGTAAGTAATTTCAAAGAAAGATAATGGAAGACACTAAAGTAAGATTCTTAAAAGTCTTATTGCCATGGTCTGGTAATGTGCCAGTCCATGAACTGATTAAGGATGTTGAAATTCACAAGATATGAAGTGTGATCGCTCACTTCAGTCGGCAAGGTACTTGTTGTTGGCGATATTGCAATTCTCAGTTTCATTTCTCATTATTAAACCTGTTTGCTTTGCAGAAACTAAACTTAAAATAAATTAAGGGACTTACCATTGCCGACTGATAGTAGGCACTGGGTCTCCAAGGGAGAGTTGTTACAGAACGTCTGAGAGGTGACGGAGCAGGGTATGTGTCGTATGACCTCTGAGTAGCCTGCATGGTGCCGATGGTTGGTAGCTGGGTGTAGTGGGTCAGGTGACGAGGACCCGTCATGTAGGTCGCTGTCTGGGTCTGCCCTAAATATTCCATCTTACCCTTTACTTGGCTAAAACAGATACAGATTATTCGTTTATAAAACGGGCTGACCCAAAAAAGGAACCAGAAAATGTGCTCAACAAAGTAATAAACCGCGAGTAATGAAATACTCGCAATTTGAGTGGGCCACTCAGGAGTTACTGAATCAACAGATTAATTCTTCTGTGCTTATACTGGTGTTTGCTGAAAGTCTCTGAGAGTTCTTTAATGGCCAAATTATATTCAAAGTTAACTAGGACTATTGTCATAGAAACCAGCAAGAATATATATATATATATTAGGTGTCCCTGTGGTGAAGCTACCTCGACATCCGTCTCCCGGGTAGTTAGCATCCTTTGGATATTATCTCTAGATGATGCCGGTGTTTTGGGAAATGAGCAGAAGACTGGCCGGTTCTGCGCCACTTGGTGGTGAACTGATGTATGACAGATGGATAATGTGAGGTCCCTTTGATGAGAATGGCGCTGCGAGGAGTTACAAGGGGATTTGGCTGACGCTCGACACTCAGGGGAAAAGGCAAGACGGATATACAGTCAGACAGTTACTGGTACTATCGTAATTTTAACTCTTAGCTTGCTGCTGAAGATAGGGACGGAGCGCTTTGGGGGTGTCCAGAGTGTTGTGATGTCAATTCTTAATTCAACATTCAACTCGACATCCGTCTGTGTACGGATTCTCATGAAAATGGCAACGAGATAATCATTTGAAGAAGTTTGAAGACAATCTGTACTCCTACAATCTGTTACAATTAGTGAATACATCTATATAATATTAAATAACCAAAAACAATCAACAACCAGAAACATTCATTACCGGAAAAAAAAAAACATTTTATATTCCCGAATATAATCCAGATGGATTGAACGGGATATATGGGTAATTAAATTACTACTTCTATAAGAAGACTGAAAAGGTCGAAAAGCTAGACAAATATTGTCAAATCAGTTCAACGTTAGTTTCTTTCTTTCTTTCTTTCTTTCTTTCTTTCTTTCTTTCTTTCTTTCTTTCTTTCTTTCTTTCTTTCTTTCTTTCTTTCTTTCTTTCTTTCTTTCTTTCTTTCTTTCTTTCTTTCTTTCTTTTTTTCTTTCTTTCTTTCTTTCTTTTCTTTTTCTTTCTTTCTTTTTCTTTCTTTCTCTTTTTCTTTCTTTCTTTCTTTCTTCTTTCTTCTTTCTTTCTTTCTTTCTTTCTTTCTTTTCTTCTTTCTTTCTTTTTCTTTCTTTTCTTTCTTTCTTTCTTTTCTTTCTTTCTTTTCTTTTCTTTCTTTCTTTCTTTCTTTCTTTCTTTCTTTCTTTCTTTCTTTCTTTCTTTCTTTCTTTTTTTTCTTTCTTTCTTTCTTTTCTTTCTTTCTTTCTTTCTTTCTTTCTTTCTTTCTTTCTTTCTTTCTTTCTTTCTTTCTTTCTTTCTTTCTTTCTTTCTTTCTTTCTTTCTTTCTTTCTTTCTTTCTTTCTTTCTTTCTTTCTTTCTTCAACCTTTTCTTCTTTCATTTACTCGCCGGACCCAATCTCTCTCTTGTTGTACCCCACCAGGACATCACACAAGCGATAAACACCCAGTGACACAAAGTGTCACCACGCGGATGAGGATTACCCGTGGAGAGGTCCCAGAAACCCCTTTCAGCTGGTAGGTCATATCACGTCCGACTGGAGCTGGCCGTGGTCACATTTATGGCCCGGCTATATTCAGGGCCCAAGGCAAAAGCGAGGGTCTAATCGAAATTTGAACCAAAGATTATACTGAAGTAATTCAAAGTTATTTGGCAAGAAAATGTACATGCAACGTGATATGTCAGGGAAAGCTACAAACTAGAACACCGGCTATATTTAAGTTACACACAAATCTTCTGTAAAACAAAGCCGCTTCTGTCATAGCATTAGGTTTTTGTGTCTAGCAATAGGTGACAACGTTAAGTTACTTAAATCAGAACGTTGCATTAAGTTGTGCTTTTACATGTCACTCGATCCCAACCCTTGCTGTGTGATTGCCCATAGACTCAAGAGATTTGCATGATATAAACCGCCTCTTGTTAACCGGGCGTCTTGTTGGCGGCTATTGCGTAGCGTTCCGAGCCGAGCCCGTTTCGTAATTCCGAGGTACTTGTTTCGATTCCACTTGTGGGTGATTTGGCCTTGCGTTGATTTTGACAGGAGTCTCGGGATCTGACCGTGCAGTAGTGAAGCCAAAACATGAAACAAATGTTGGAGTTTGTTCTGAAACGTCTTTTGAAGAATACGCAATTAAATGTTGTTATCTTATGTTTAAGATAAACAATACATGTTGCTATCTTATGTATAAGATAAACAAAGAATAATAACTTTTAAACTCGTGTATGCTGTAAGAGGCGATTAAGGTATGTTGGTTATTGAGACTGGCCATGACATATCATAAATACTTAAATTGCAAGATCCAATCCATCGTGACCAAGTGTTCAAAAGTATCGGTGTCAGATGACATGTCAGTTGTGCTCTCTTTGAAGTTGACAGAAAAAATAGGAAGAGGAAGAAGACAAAGGAGGAGGAGGAGAAAGAGGAAGAGAAGAAGAAGATAGTGGTGTGGATAAGGAGGAGAGGAAGAGCAGGACAAAAGATCCTTCTGGATAACTTAATGGCGACCAGTAGGCAACTATTCAGCCTATCTTCATTCGTCCATTTGGCACCTTCCTCTTAGCGCTTACTGGCTCTAAGCTTCTTTAGAGAGTTCTGATTTTTCGTCCACCTATACACTTTAGTCTTGTCCCAGAACTTTCATTTTGCGTGCACATCCGGTTTACAGATCTGACCTACTTGTAAGCAAACTAATGGTTCTTTGCTGTTCATATATATATACGCTCCGACTTCAAAAGGGGGGGGGGGGGGTCTCTAGGTAGTCGCCTTTTACGAATACGTGTTAGGGAGGCATTCTAAGAAGCCTATGTTCCCCCAAAATATGGGCCCCGGAACCCACTCGGGGATCGTTAACACTGACAACTTGGGCTAACACTATCATTCTTTAGCAAGCACTTTAACGACGTGTAAACTAGGGGAGGAAAAAGGGGAGGGGGGGGTGGGGTTAAAGTTTTTCCCACTTTCGTTTCCCTTGGTACATAAACCTCAGCTTTTGACTGCAAACACATCTGATCTCATTACGAACCTATTCACCCTCACAACACACTGATTTGCTTAATTAATTATATTCTCACATACGATACCTAAGACAAGCGTCGACTAAACGGAGAGATAAAGCACAAGCAACGAAACTCCCATACGATTATCTTTGTATAATTGATTTAGTCTAAGGGGGTTGGCAGAAATTCTGGGTTAGTTTACAGCCGGTGAACGCGAAGAAGAAAATAGAAGAAGATAAGAGAAATGTCTGGGCAACCATTAGTATCAACAGTTACAGAACAGAGAAGATGTCTGGGCAACCATTAGTATCAACAGTTACAGAACAGAGAAGAGGGCGCTGCATTGGACACATCCTGAGAGGAAACCAACAGAAAACCATCAAACAGGCGGTAACAGGGCAAATAAATGGATTAAGGAGGCGGGGACGCCCAAAGAAACCTTAAGATGAACTTTGATGAGTGAAGCTAGAGCTGCTGGATCGGATTCCATCCATGATATTTAATCGATTGCACAGCATATAATGGAATGGAGGAATCGACTAGGTGCCCGATGTGACATTTAATGGCGCAACAGGACAATGTATATATGTGTGTGTGTGTGTATATATATATATATATATATATATATATATATATATATATATATATATATATATATATATATATACAGAGAGAGATCCCGGCTCTCTAGCGTAGTTGGCTAAACCGGATTGCGAGGAGACCGGGTGACTAACTCCTTGTGGTCCGGTTTCACTCCCAGGGGTAGGCAGAAAAGCCACATTTCTCCCAGATTTACGGTATTTACAATGGAATCAAGGCCGAAAGGTTGCGATATCTATAATACCGAGCCTAAGGGTTAACAACTCATGGCTTCTGGATACAAAAACAAACAATACAGAGAGAGAGAGAGAGAGAGAGAGAGAGAGAGAGAGAGAGAGAGAGAGAGAGAGAGAGAGAGAGAGAAGGGCGTTGGTTTCAGTTAACAGTTTACAATTTGAAAACGTCAAGGTATTTCGATTATATAAGTTGAAAACACTCAGCACTCCTGGGAAAGGCGAGACGGATATGCAATCAAACAGTTAATGGTGCCATGGGAATTGGAACTCTTTGCTTACTGCTGAAGATGGGGGCGGAGTGCTTATGGGGATGTCCCCAGTGTTGTGATGTCGATTCTTATTTCAATATTCAACAAGTTTAGCGCTCTTGTCTGTTGTTGGTGTGGGGAGGCGGAACTATCAACAACTTAGATGGGGGGGTTTTTTTTTACTTGCTGGCTTTAAAATTTACTAGCCCTGGTCGTTTACGAAATGCAACTGTTCTGGTTATATCACCTAGTTCAAGATTGCCGTCGATGCAGGCACACATTATTCAGCAGGTGCTGAGAATTATGAATTAATATAATGTAGAAGCAATCCTTCGCTTGCAATAAATTACACGGGGAAAAAACGGCTACCTTTAGAAAGTGCCTTTACTCATTAGGCTAGTGGCGCTTTCATTCATACACTGCCAGGGAACAACAATGTCTTTCGTGTAACTGTATGTTTCAAAGAGACAAGGCCATTGTTATAAACGTGATTCAATATAAAGTTTTACATGTTACGTAAAGTTAGTTTTTCGCCGTGTCTGGACATATTTTTAGGATTCTTACAACGATCGATCCAGCAACATGCAAAGGCAATTTAAGGAATTTAAGTTCGATGATTAGTTTACAGCCATTGTATTTATTACTCCTGGAGGCCTTATTTTCGCCACAAATTCATCTGACGCCCCCTTTCTCTTTCTCTCTCTCTCTCTATCTCTATCTCTCTCTCTATATATCTCTCTCTATCTCTCTCTCTCTCTATCTATCTATCTATCTACCTACCTACCTACCTACCTACCTACCTACCTACCT